CCACAAGGGTAAGGTGAAGTGAATCGCAGAAATATAAGCTCTGACATTACAGAGCCAGTAAAACTGCCTACCTTCATTTTTCTTGTATGTGAGAAAAACTGACTTTAAAAAAGTGACTACAGTCAAGTTTTCTATTATCTGTGGGCAAAACCATTCACATTCCTAACTGATTTATTTGGTCTCATTTACAGCCAAGGGCACAGGCCCAATTTTGCTTTTGTGGATTTTTTTATTTAATTTTTTTTTTTTTTTCTTTGAGGTGAGGTCTCACTATGTTGCTTAGGCTGGTCCTGAACTCTTGGGCTCAAGTGTTCCTACCGCCCCAGCCTCTCAGAATACTGGGAATACAGGCATGAGCCACTGCACCTGGCCTAACTTTGAGTCCAAAGGTAGCAATACAGGCCAGGTGCAGTGGCTCATGCCTGTAATCCCACCACTTTGGGAAGCCAAGGCAGGAGGATTGCTTGAGGCTGGGAGTTCCTGACCAGCAAGAGCAACATAGCAAGATTCCAGCTCTACAAAAAAATACAAAAAGTAACTGGGCATGGTGGCATGCACCTGCAGTCCCAGGTACTCCTCCAGAGGCTGAGGTAGGAGGATCACTTGAATCCAGGAGTTCAAAGCTGCAATGAGTTATGATTACACCACTGCACTCCAGCCTGGATAACAGAGCAAGATTCTGTCTTAAAAAAAGAAAAGAAAAAAAAAAAGGCCAGGCACAGTGGCTCACACCTGTAATCCCAGCACTTTGGGAGGCCAAGGCGGGCGGATCACAAGGTCAGGAGTTCAAGACCAGCCTGACCAACATGGTGAAACCCCCTCTTCACTAAAAATACAAAAATTAGCCGGGCATGGTGGTGTGTGCCTATAATCCCAGCTACTCCGGAGGCTGAGGCAGGAGAATTGCTTGAACCCGGGAGGCGGAGGTTGCAGTGAGCTGAGATTGTGCCACTGTACTCCAGTCTGGGCGACAGAGCGAGACTCTGTCTTAAAAAAAAAAAAAAAGTTAGCAATACAAAGAAGCAGGGACTATGGGAAAACTTTCTGGGGATAGCGACAGTTGTAGTTCTGGTGGCACCATCTAGTATGTTGACACTTTAGACCTTATTTTGCTTTCTGGTGGCCTTTGCCAGGGAAACAGACAATAGGTTCTCTATACTTAGTAATAATTGTTACTACTCATTGTTTACTGTGAGCCAAGTGTTTTATTAGTTTTCTGTCCTAATTCCTATCAACCACTTAAGATGGGTATTAATATCTTCTCTGAGGTTAAATGAGGATAACTCCAAGATCACACAGTTGGCAGAGCTGGGATTCAGTTTCAGAGTGACCCCAAAACCAGATCTTAATCATATTTCTATATTGCAGCTATTTCTTTTGCCAACCCCTAATTTTTGGGCCTGATACCCTATCTGAGGTTGAAATCTGGGGCCATACCCTTGGAGGGGAAGAAAGATAGGGTCACACAGATGGTTGTCTGTCATTAGCCCATTTGGCAGGGGGATATAGGATCTGCCCAAACGTTGACAGGCTCTGAGCCAGGTTGCACAGATGCAGGCAGTCCTCTGAGTCAGGCTGGGAGAGGCTCCAGATGAACCGCCAGACTTCTGTGTCTGAAATCCTGAGAGATATAGAGGAAACCTGGGTGGCTCCCTCAGAGACAAAGTGATTCTGCAGGTTCAGAATGCGCTGAACTTACAGGAGAGGAAGATATTAAAAGATAATTGCACAAATGATGAATAAGGATTGTAATACCTGCCAAGAAGGAAAAGCAGTATTGAATGAGAATGTATACATGGTCTTAGTTCATTCCTGCTGCTATAACAAAATACCTAGACTGGGCACTTCATAAATAATACACATTTCTTTATTTCTCTCTCTCTCTCTCTCTCTGTGTCTTTCGGTCTTGCTGTGTCACCCAGACTGGAATGCAGTGGTGTGATCTCAGCTCACTGCAACCTCTACCTCTCAGGTTCAAGTGATTCTCCTGCTTCAGCAGGAGATTCGAGTAGCTGGGTTTATGGCTGCGTAGCTGGGACTAGAGGCGCCCACCACCACGCCTGGATAATTTTTGGATTTTTAGTAGAGATGAGGTTTTGCCATATTGGCCAGGCTGGTCTCGAACTCCTGACCTCAGGTGATCCACCCGCCTCGGTCTCCCAAAGTGCTGGGATTACATATGTGAGCTGCTGCACCCGGCAATAAAATTATTTCCTATAGTTCTGGAGGCTGGAAGTTCAAGATCAAGATGCCAGGAGGTTCAGTGTCTGGTGGGGGCCTGGTCTCTGCTTCTAAGAGGGCACCTTCTAGCTGCACAGAAAGCAAAAAGGCAAAAGGCCTAGCTAGTTCCCTCAGCCCTTTTAGTGGGCATAATCTCATCCACCAGAGAGGTGCCCTCGTGGCCTGCTCACCTCTGAACGGCCTCACCTCTTAATACTATTGCATTAGGGATTAAGTTTCAACATGAATTTTGGAGAGGATGCAAACATTCAAACCATAGGACCTGTACCAGATCTAGTCTGAAGTCTCATATGCAAATTATCCCCTTTTCATTTATTATCTTTTTATCATCACCATCATTTCCCCCTTTATGAGAACAGTATCTTCTGCATTCTCTCCTTGATTGCATCCGCATACCACAGCTTTGATTCAGATTCTGATTAGATCTTTGTGCTTATCTTCTAGCAGTTCTCCCTGCCTCTTTTGTTGCCCACTGAAGGCCATGCCCTACACGGTAGCTAGATTTTTATTTCTAAAATACAGTATGACTAGTGCCTCCTTCCTTTCTCACTAAGGTTTGACCTCTCTGGCCCGGCAGTTTGCTCAACCCCCTTTTCTTTAGCCTTATCTCCTACTCCTCTCCTGCAGGAACCTCTCACGTCAGCCCAGCACAGATTCCCATCTCCATTACTGTTCATTCATGTTTGCTCTGCAACGATCTGTCCGTCCATCTCTGCCTAGGAAATTACTATTCTGAATTCAAGGCACTCACTGAACATGTGCTAGATGAGAACTCACCACGGATGAAGCAATGGGTCCTGGACAAGGGGCAAGATCAGTGAGGAGGAAAAAGCTGGAAGACAGAAGGCAGCACATCTTCTGATGACCACTCCAAATGGTAATACTATTTCCAAAATAGACTGTAAGCACCATGAGAGCAGTAACAGGGTCTGACTTGTCCACTGCTGGATCCCCAGTTGTGCTTGGTACAAAATAACATAGCAATTATTGAACTCTTCCAATAATTGCTACTATGTAGCTCAATAATTTTTTTCAGTGCATAAATACATGTTACAGATATTCTTTTATTTATTTATTTTTTTGAGACAGACTCTCGTTCTGTCGCCAGGCTAGAGTACAGTGGCACAATCTCAGCTCACTGCAACCTCCACCTCCCGGGTTCAAGCGATTCTTCTGCCTCAGCCTCCCAAGTAGCTGGGACTACAGATGCCTGCCACCACGCCCAGCTAATTTTTGTATTTTTTAGTAGAGATAGGGTTTCACCATATTGGCCAGGCTGGTCTTGATCTCTTGACCTCATGATCTGCCCGCTTCGGCCTCCCAAAGTGCTGGGATTACAGATGTGAGCCACTGCGCCCAGCCCTTCATGTGATGGATGTTCTTCAACTATCTTCCAATCTCTTACTGGAGTTACAAGTGCATGTATCTAGACTTCTTAAAAGACCGGACATTCCTTAGGGCAGGGGCTGTAACTTAAGTCGTGTGTACATTCTTTATAATGAAGCATTTTACAAAGTGGTTTCACATACATTACTGCTTCTGTTTCTCATTACAGCCCCATGAATATTCCCCATTTGATAGATGAGGAAACTTTCTTCCTTCTCCTTCCTGCTTCCTCTTCTCTCTCCTCTTCCTCTAGAATGCATGTATGGTCTATGTTCCTTCTGTCCCTAATCCAGAAAGAGATTTAGAAGAACCAAATGCAGAGTCAAAGACTATATCCAAATAAAGTTAGAGTTTGTGTGTGTGTGACAGTGTTTTTAGTTAAATGTCAATATTTAAAATATACTATGACTTTTATATCATATTTTTTCATGTTGTCATGTTCTTTTAAACATGCTGGGAGCCATATAGTTAGGAAGAGGCCCAGTAACCCATCCAAAGTAACCTGACCAAAGTCTGACCCCTAGTAGAGGGCCTATGCCAGCACTGGAACCCAGTGTGTCTCCAGATCCAGAGGCATTCACCGCCTCAAAACTGCCTCAAATGACTGCAGTGTGGTCTATCACAGGGGCTAATTAAGCTTATGGGATTTAGAGTCAGACAGATGTGTTTCCTTCAGTTTCAACAGTTATTTTCTGACCTTGGCAAGTTATTCAGCTTCCTCATTTGAAAACCAGAGGACATAATGGTACCAACCACCGAGAGTTGCTATTAGGAGTAAATGAAAATACGCTTGAAGAACTCAGCATAGGCCTGGCAAGTAGTCAGCGTGCAGTAAATGGTAGCTGTTATTATAAGAACTTTAGTTGTTGAATGATTGACTCTGGCATATAACTCCTGCATTCAACTTGAAACACGGAGCTGTCACAGTCTTTCAGCCGAAGGGGCGGGAACTGTGGCACTCGCCAGTTTTTTCTAGAAATAAATCTTTGTGGGAGGATAATGACCGGTTGGAGAGCGTGAGTCTTGAGGGAACAAAGATCGGATCTCCCAGCCCACGGAGCAAGGAAGTGAATCCTCCCCTGCGCGCGGCAGCCACCGTGCGGAACCTCCCCCTGAACCGAGTAGCAGCCGCCTGGGCCCGCGCAGCCCAAGGCGAGGCTGCCTCAGAAGCCGGATTTCAGCATGGTGGGTGCAGGATCTGCTTTAATTTTGCTCATCTTATTCTCGGGGACCACACCCTGCGCGCCGGGAGGAAGGGCTCCAAAACCACAAGGGCGGAGGCTCTCGCGCGGCCCCAGACCTGACCATCTATGGTCACAAAACACACCGACCAAACAGGAAGTGGGGTGAGAGCGGAGGGTTTCTTACCTTCCCAGTCCCGGGACTGCCAGCCGGGTTGGGGCTGACCCACAGCGCCCTCACTGACCCCCACACCCTGCGCCCAGTCTCCGCAAGTCCTCCCACAACAATGTCCAGACTAATTGCCTTCCCACGTCACAAACGGGGAAACCGAGGTATGCACGCCCAGAGACAGGGGGAGCTTGGCCTCGATCCCCACCAAGAGCAGACGGCTGACCGGATTCCTGCCCTCAGAGAATCCTGGACCCCAGTCGTTCCAAGACCCTTTCCGGACTGCAGCGGAAAGGAACCGGCCTCTGCCACTGAGACCAAACTGACAGAGAACTGGCCACTCTTCTGTTCCTTCCAGAGAGGAGCTTAGCCAGGGACTTCTGCCCTTCCTGCGACCGGGTCTCGGGGACGATTCCGGGTAGGTAAAGCGGAACGAGGGCGTGACCTCGCTTGTGAGCCCGCCCTCCCCGCGTCGCTCCCGCCTTGAGGGCGGGGCTCTTCCCCAAGTGCCCTCTGTGCGAGCTGGGCCGCTTTCTCCGGGGCGTGGCGAAGGGGGGCGGAGTCACGAGCGGGGCGGTGAGACTTCCTGCCCAGTCGCGGGCCAGCCTAGCGCTTCAGCCGGCGGCTCATTTCCGGTGGGGGTGCCGCGCCCAGTGAGGGCCCGGAAGTGGGTCGCGCGGAGATTGCTGGGCGGTTCTTGCCGGAAGCGGAGAGCGGCTGATCGTAGTCCGGAGGTGAGGCAGAACTCTGAGGTGAGGGTGTGCAGCTTGGTAGGGACTGGGGTCTCCTCCGGGGCCCATGGGCCCCTGGTGTTGTTAATGGCCCTTCTGGCCTGCGCGCGTGTCGTGAACCCTGCCGAGAGGGCCGGGGCTGAGGCCCTCAGGCCGACCCGGACTCCTGGGCGCGGTCTCTTGAGGTGGGGCCGGGGTGAGCAGCTGAGTCCGGTTGCCCGAGGGAGGCCCCTCTGCCCGATTTCGCAGTGCCGCCCATCATTTTCAGCGGAGGCCTGATTCCTGAGGTGCTCTGACTGGAAGGAACCTCCGAGATCGGAGAGTCTTTCTTGTTCCCTGTTGATGCTCCCATTGCACTGATGGGTAAATTGATCCCTAGAGAAGAGGCTAGTCCGAGATATATAGCGAGTGAGGAAAATAGTCAGAATCATGGTCCTGATTCCTAAGATGACCAGCCCTGGTTCCTTCCCTTGTTGCTCGGAACCTCTCTAACTTGGGATGGTCTTCCGGTCGGTGTTGCCCTTAAGGCTGCTGCAGGTCAAAGGCCATCGCTGCGTGGAACTTTTTTTTCCCCTCTTCCCAAATTGAGCCGTTTGAAATGCCTAGGGAGTTTTTAAAAGAGAGGCGGGCAAATCCTTGTATTTACGGGCAGATATCCTCCTTTTCCTCCTCGGCTGCTGCTCTTGTTTTGAAAAGCCAGGCTAACTTTATTGAAGGTGTGTACTTCTGGACCTGAAACCAGACGGCTCAGGTTTGGTCTGGCCTCAGTGCCAAGTGTCTATGGCCATAGGTGCCTTATTTAACTTCTTTGAGCCTCCTTTTGTTCATCATTTAAGTGGAGATCTCTGCTGACCCCACAGGATTAAATTCAGCGTAACAAATTGTGTTTATTCTGTGCCAGCATTTTCCCAGATGCGGGGAATGCAGCTTTAAAACAAAACAATGTAGACCCTGCCCGCATGGAGCTAGCAGTGTTTGCAGGGATGTTTAAGAAATAATTATGTTGATGAGAGTTAGGAAAGAACACGGTGCTCTGAAAGTATGTAACAAGGGGTTCAGGAAAAGCCCTTCTGAAGAAGCAGAGTTTTTAAGATGAATTTTGAAGGATAAATAGGAATGTGTTCGAAGAGGGGAATGAGAACATTTGAGACAGATTAGCATCAGAACTGTGTCAGTTGAAGCTCTTTGTGGGATCTCTCTTCAAGTGAAAATCCTTGAGCAGATCAGCACATTTATCATTTACCAGACTTTAATTAATTTATTTATTTGTATTTTTAGTAGAGATGGGGTTTCCCCGTGAAGGCCAGGCTGCTCTCAAACTCCTGACCTCAGGTGATCCCCCACCTCGGCCTCCCAAAGTGCTGGGATTATGGGCGTGAGCCGCCGTGCCCGGCCCCACCAGATATTTGTTAAGACCTTAGCATGTATGAGGCACATTTTAATGAGACAACCTTTGTGGCAAAGAATACAGTTCTTCTGGAGTTTACAGTGGGAGAGGAAATAGACAAGTAAATGAGGGATGGCTTACAGTTTCATAGCGCATAGCACAGGGCTACAAGAGCACAGAGGAGAAATACCTGAGCCAGTTGTCCAGGCTTCCAGGAGGAAATGGGAGGCTAACTCTTGAAATATTTATTTAGCTATATAGGGAATCTGGAAAAGGGATTTCCAGGCAGAGACTACTACAGGTGCAAGGACCTGGAGAACTGGACAGCTGAAAGACCACGACTAGTTCAGTGTCACTGGAATTCTAGTAATGGTTGGGGAAGTGGAGGAAGTGAGATGTGGTCAGGTCAGTCATATGTGGAGGACATTGTAAGTCATGCTAAAGAATTTGGATTTTTACCCTGAAAGCTATAGAGATGCTTTGAAGGGTTTTATGCAGGAAAATGATGTCATCAGATTTATATTTTAGAAAGTTCATTCTGTCAAGTAGGAGGGGACCAGGCCTATGGGGGAAGTAAACCAGTGTTTGGAAGCTCTTGCTGTAGACATGAACTAAGACATGAACTAAGACGGTGGAAATGGGAATGTAGAGGGATCATATGTGAGCAATATTAAGAAGATAGAATCCGTAGAATTGGAGGCTGATTATGGGAATGAAGAAGTAAGAGTAGCACGATTGCCTGGCTTTCTGTCTTAGGGAACTGGGTAGTACCATTCAGATAAAGAGTATGAGAGGTAAATTAGGGAAGTGACATGGGAAAAAAATGCATTTTGAATGTTTTTAGTTTGAGGTGTTTGTAGCACATTCAGGCAAAGATGTCTAATAAGGTGGGTCAGCTAAAGGAAACAGCAAGAGTAAAGATAACGGAGACAGGAGAGGGCCTGAATTGTTTAGTGAAATACTGGGGCCTGGAGTTTTGCAGAAGACCAGACTGCAAAAAAGGTTAGATGTCAGCCAAGTTGTGAAGGGCTTTTGTTTGTTTGTTTGTTTGTTTTGAGACGGAGTCTTGCTCTGTTGCCCAGGCTGGTGTGCAGTGGCACTATCTCAGCTCACTGAAACCTCCATCTCCCAAGTTCAAGCAATTCTCCTGCCTCAGCCTCCCGAGTAACTGGGATTACAGGTGCATGCCACCATGCCTTGCTAATTTTTGTCTTTTTAGTAGAGACAGGGTTTTACCATGCTGGCCAGGCTGGTCCTGAACTCTTGACCTCGTGATCCGCCCGCCTTGGCCTCCCAAAGTGTTGTGATTACAGGTGTGAGCCACCGCGCCCAGGGTAAAGGGCTTTTAATGCCTTGTTGAATTTGTTTGGATTTGATTTTATGGTTGGCAGTTTGCTGATTGATTTGCCCAGGTCCAGCATAAATACATTTCTGGGCCTGGCACAGTGACTCACATCTGTAATCCTGGCACTCTGGGAGGCTGAGGTCGGCAAATCACTTGATATCAGGAGTTCAAGACCAGCCTGGCCAACATGGTGAAACACCGACTCTACTAAAAATACAAAAATTAGCTGGGCGTGGCGGCGCACACCTGTAGTCCCAGCTGCTCGGGAGGCTGAGGCAGGAGAATCGCTTGAACCCGGAAGGTGGAGGTTGCAGTGAGCTGAGATTGTACCACTGCCCTCCAGCCTGGGTGACAATGAGACTCTGTCTCAAAAAAAAAGAAAAAAGGAGTTTCTCGCTTTTTCTAGAAATACTTCCTCAATTAGGTGGGCATAATTGATATCTCAGAGAAGTTTAAATAAAATGGTAGCAGTGAAAGTACTTTGTAGAATACAGCCTGATGTGCAAACCAAAGGTGGTGATATTGTTAAGATTCAGTGAGTATATTTTTGCTTTGGAGGTTAGCTATTGAGTCTGTAAAATGTTTTGTTTCCAACCTACAGATGATCTTTTATTCTCACGGATGATCTCTTATTCTCACCCTTTTTCCTGGTTGCAGTTATTTTTTTTTTAGCTTTTAAAAAGTTACTTTCTTGAGGCTGAATTGGAGACTAACCTGGTCAACATAGTGAGACCCCTGTCTCTACAAGAAAAAAAAAAAAGGTGACTTCCTCCTTTCAGTTTTTTGTGAAGTATTGTGAATCAAAGATTTTTCTTTTAACTTAAGCAAATGCAAAGTGTCACTGGAAGCTGAACCTCTGGTTTGAAATTTAATGCTGAGATTTGAAATCTGAGAGTTCTTGAGCGGTATCTTACCCAATCCTAGTGATTATTCCTTTGAAATGTTGCCATCAGTTTCTTTCTTTATTTGTGCTAACCTGGCATTCATGACCTATACTTCAGCTTCTCTGTGACAACCAGACTAATCTTTAATTTAAAGTTCTCTAAGAAGAAGCATTTTTCATCTTGTTACTCTTCACTGACTTCATATTTGCAAAGAATCAATTCTAGACTCTTGTCCATCTTACAGAGTTCTCCACAGTTTAGGCCCTTATCTTAATTTTTATTAGATGGTACACGTTGACTTTCTAATTTAGAAAGTCCTGAACTAGCATTTACTTAACCTTTCGCACCTCCCTATGCTCCTTGTTAAATTAGAACAGGGTTTCTCAACGTTGGCCCAATTGACATTTTGGGCCATATAATTCTTTATTATGGAGTTATCCTGTGTATTGTAGGATATTAAGCAGCATCTGTCTCTACCCAGTAGATGCCAATAACACTTCCTCAGTTGTGACAATCAAAAATGTCTTCAGACATTGCCATATGTCTCCTGGAGGACAAAATTGCCCCTGGTTGAGAATTGCTGCATTAGAAAGTATCGTAGCTATGATTGTACAATGTCCCCAACTAAATTCTGTGAGGGCAGGCCCCATAGCCATACTTAGCACAGTCAATGGTACATGATAAGCACTCAGTACCCTGCAATGAATGAATCATTTGTTTTTGTTGAAGCCTCAAGAAGTTACCCTTCAAGGAATTTCTGGGTGTGCAGGTTGGAGTACAATGTTGCAGTCATGGCTCACTGCAACCTCCAACTTCTGGGTTCAAGTAATCTTCTCACCTCAGCCTCCTGAGTTGCTGGGACTACAGTGTTTTTTCTTCTTTTGTTTTTTGTTTTTTTGAGATGGAGTTTCGCTACGTTGCCCAGGCTGGAGTGCAGTGGCGCGATCTAGGCTCACTGCAGCTTCCCCCTCCCGGGTTCAAGCAATTCTCCTGCCTCAGCCTCCCGAGTAGCTGGGATTACAGGCATACGCCACCACGCCCAGCTAATTTTGTATTTTTTTAATGGAGATGGGGTTTCTCCTTGTTGGTCAGACTGGTCTCGAACTCCCAACCTCAGGTGATCCACCCACCTCGGCCTCCCAAAGTGCTGGGATTACAGATGTGAGCCACCGCGCCAGGCCGGGACTATTTATTTTAAAGTTGCGTATATGCTAGGCGTGGTGATTCACGCCTGTAATCCCAGCACTTTGGGAGGCCGAGGTGGGCAGATCACCTGAGGTCAGGAGTTCGAGACCAGCCTGGCCAACATGGTGAAACCCTGTCCCTACGAAAAATACAGAAATTAGCCAGGTGTGGTGGCGTATACCTGTAATCCCAACTACTAGGGAGGCTGAGGCAGGAGAAT